TTTCATTCCAAGATCCAAGATTTCAAGCTTTATATTCAAGAATTGGGTGATGTCTTCTCCAAAATATTTTCTTTGTTATTTCAATTTATCCATGCTAGGCTAGGTTTTTATTGTACTAGGTGAACGATGAACCTCGTATTGTGAACCTTTAATTCTTTATTTTGCAATTTGATTATAAACACGAATATTTGATGTTGAATGGTCTATATTCTCTTTATTGCCTCCATAATTATATGCGCAATGATTATGTGAATTTGGGTGGTCTATTTTATGCATTCGAGGGAAGGGGAATAGATTCTACAAGGTATAAATCATCGTAGGGTTCGATAGGGGATAGAGATATACCGCTATGCTTTACATGAGTCTTTAAGTGTTCATAAAACATTATGCATTCTTGTATATTGGCATTTGTCATAGAGATATAGTCAAATGGTATGCGAGGATAGGTTTAGCTCTACTCGAGAGAGATTGTTGAATATTTTAGGAACATTGATTCTTCAACCGATTCATTGTGCTATCAAATTGTGAAATAAAGGTTAAGGGTGAGCTTACTTGGGGATTCGGGATCCTAGTACTTTTTCATACATATATTTCATCAAAAATCTGCATTCAATTCGTTATCTTTGCATGTAGTTATTTACTTTCATTTAAACTTGCATTCCTAGTATAATTTTGATAATTTCATAGTTTGATCATCTCTTTGAATATACTTAAGTTTCGGTTAAGGTCGAGATAGGTAATGTTTGAACTAACTCAATCTCTGTGGGAACGATACTTAGACTTCAAAATCCATTTTTTTACTTGAACGATCCGTACACTTGCGGTAATCAAAGTCGAATACATTTTCGGTGTGTCAAGTTTTTGGCACCGTTGCCGGGGATTTAACTTAATTTTATTTTATTTACTTTGACACTAATTCGAACTTTTCATTTATTTATTTATTTTTATTGCTTTTATTTTTGGCTAACCCCGTATTATTAATCTACCTCGTGTTTGCACTCTTTCCCTATCATTTTTCAGATAATTGCATGATTCTGACTTGGAAAGGTAATGAAACTTTTGCAATGGATAATATTTACACAGATGATGAAGATATGTTTGAAAGATATCTGAGTTGTTATAATTGCTACACGATACATTGTACTGGACAATGTTTATCATCGCACTCTTGTTTCTACACGCCAAAACTCATGATATTTAGAGAATATTTAAGGTGTCGGAAGCGAGCAATTGATGAAAACCATGAAAGGTACACTCTCGT